GCTTTATTTGGCCAAGTGTGATTAGACAAACAAGGTCATATGGGAGGCATATACAAATAAAATAAAATGTAATATGAAGTTTATTACATTGTCCTACTCATATACTATGTGCATGTGGCCAAATGTGGACTAAATAAAGCCTTAAAACTAGCTTTCTCCTTATTGCCTTAATTTGTTTGGCTTATATGTCATATAGTGGGGAGATGCCCATTGTGGGAAAATTAAACTAGATGCATGATAAATATATTCAAGCAACCCATCCAAATGGTGGTGAATACCTTGCAGGGTTAAAGTATCAATATTAGCCCTTTAAAAATGCACTGGTTATTTTCATTTCAGTCTGTTTACTGACAAAAAGTGTTCTTTGAGGAGTAATGAAGAAGACAGGGGTTGTATGGCTGTGCGTGGATATAATTCAGGCATTGTGATTTTAAATGCTTGTTCACCCATGAAATGCACTGGGTGGCTTCGGGCCAGCCATTGTCTCTTCAAATAATTCCTGTTACATAGTGATTGCTCTAGGACCTTTTTCAATTTTTCTTTTTTTTTCTTTTTCTTTTTTCTGCTTGTTAAAAGCCAGTACAATTCTGACTTTCAAAGCACGTTTGTTAGGATGCTAGGGTTTTGCTTTGACTGGTGATCAGGCTGAGTCATTTTCCTATTTGAGAAAAACCAGGACAGTGGAGAAATGGATTAGCTGGTTTTCTTAACCAAAATGATTTCATACAGATAGTGCCATTCCATCCCTTATATGTTTTTTATGGGCCAGAAAAGTATACGATTCATCTTGTTCTGTAAAATTATACATTCCTTTTTGCATGCATCTGCATTTAATCTTTTTTATCTAATTTCTTTTATTATTAGCAACTCCTAGACATTTCTTTGGTAAAATTGAACCTCCTCCTCCTCTTCTTCTCCCTCCCTTTCCTACTCCCCCTCCTCCATTTGAGAAAGCATCTTAGAGTTGGTCAGCTGGTAGGTATGGAGGGGAAAGCAAATGATAAAAATTATCAGATTCTGTAGACTGTCATGTGTCTGACTGATGAAACACTTCAAAGAACTTTTAGGCATGTTTAAACCTAAAAAGCCTTTATTAGTGTAAAAGGAGTGTCAGCACGGCATGGAGAATGCCAAGATCTGAATTTCCCTTTCATTGCACATACCGTAATTTCCGGCGTATAAGACGACTCGGCGTATAAGACAACCCCTGACTTCGGCGCCGATTTCCGCGCTTTAGAAAGTCCTCTTATACGCTGGAAAATACGGTAACATTTCAGGCATTTCCCCTCCCCTATTTTGGGGTCATGATTCACATCTTCCAATTAACCTGGAGGGCAAAGATTCACTTCTTTCCCTTTTCTCTCCTCTCTCTTTCTCATCTGAATTAACTCTAAAAGTACCAGACAGTTCTGTATATTTTGTCAAAGCAAGAATATTCAATATTAGCAGCATTGACATAGACATCTTTGGCTATGTACTTAAAATTAAATGACTCCATATTAAAGAACTGATGTTATCAAAGTTCTCATTCAACTTTAATTGCCTTCCATTTGTATGTTATTTTGGGCTTTATGCCCTCCCTAACATTTTTTTTTTGATGAATTGCTCTGTTATCTGTGTTACCAAACCTTCCTTTCTAAAAGAGTATGAGGTTACGTGTTGCTTCTTCTCCCTGTTCCCTTGCCTTCTTGCAGAAGAGTACGATTTTAAATTTTAAAAAGCCAATAAAATCATGAAGGAAAAACCAGTAAAAGCGAACCTTGGTCTCTTAAAGGGAAGCAGAACTATTTATTTCCCCATTCTATATCAGAGACTGCAAGAAAGAAGCTATTAGTTAAAGTTGCGTGGTATCCTTGTAGACAAGGACGTTTCCATATACAAGTAGTTCTCGACTCACAACAGTTCATTTAGTGACTCAAGTTACAACGGCGCTGGAAAAAAAGTGACTTATGACCGTTTTTCACACTTACGACCGTTGCAGCATCCTCATGGTCACATGATCAAAATTCAGTTCAAAATTCAGATGTTTGGGAACTGAGTCCTACTTATGATGGTTGCAGTGCCTTGGGGTCATGTGTTCAGATTCTGGGACCTTCTTACAAGCCAAGTAAAACAAGATTCACTTAACAACCGTGTGACTAACTTAACAACTGTAGTGGTTCACTTAACAACTGTGGCAAGAAAGGTCGTAAAATGGGACAAAATTCACTTCACAAATGTTTCACTTAGCAACAGAAATTTTGGACTCAGTTGTGGTTATAAGTCGAGGACTACCTGTATGTTACGTAAAATCTTGGTTCTAGACTGAATCATTGCTTGATAATGTAGCCCAATAAGAAGTAAAGTGTTTAATCATTTTACTGCTTCCAGCAAGTGAATACAGGGAAAACAGTGACTCATCTAATGCAGTAACAATTGGGATCTATTTTGGTAGCAGAGAAGAAAGAGCTCATGGGGCACAGGGACTGTCATTTTGCTGTAGACCTATTCTTAAATCGGATATGACCTCCTTAAAAATATCTGCATATGTCTCCTATGTGGCATCTCTCCATTGCTTTGACAAACATACAACAGACATTTGATCTCTATTTACAACAAATAACCTGTAAAGATGCTCAAAAACATGCCTACTTACAGAATGTTGAGAAGCAATTATCCGTAAATTCTGCCACACACTTGCCCTTTTTTATTACTCATTCTATAGACATATTTAGTCTTTGCAATGTTAAGAGGATCTCAAATTCCAGATGAAAGGAACTGGACAAGCTAGAAGTCCAGGCTTTTCCTTTTTATTTCCTTGGCAACAGTAACCATGGTTACCTGCATCTGTCTGAAGATTTAAGGGGCAAGCAAGTTCAAGAGCAGCAACCAAATCCATGAGTTAATATAATTATTTTATACTCTGTTCTTTTGTTTATTAACAACATTGTTTGGAAGCAATCTGATTTTAAAAAGGATATAGATGAAATTAAGCGAAGAACAAGCTTTTGAAGGAAAAATACAAATTAGCAGAGAAGTCCTCAACGTACAGCCATTTGTCTAGCAACCTTTTGAAGTTACAAGAGTACTGAAAGTCCTCACCCTTATGACCACCACAGGTCATAATTCAGGTGCTTGGCAACCGGCATGTATTTACAACAATTGCTATTGATTGTTAAGATGATGGTTGGTTAAGGTGATTCATTTAACAACTGCAGTGATGTGCTTAACAACGCTTAAAAATTGTAGCCAAGAGAGTCATAAAATTGGGTCTGACAAGTGGTCAGGTAGTCCTCGTATACAATGACAATTGAGCCCAAAATTTCCGTTGCTAAACAAGGCAGTTGCTAAGTGAGTTTCTCCCCATTTTATGACCTTTTGTCACAGTTGTTAAATAACTCGTTGCAATTGTGAAGAGAATCGGGAGGTCATTAACTGAATCTGGCTTCCCCCGTTAACTTTGCTTGTTGGAAGCCGGCTGGGAAGGTTACTGATGGTGATTGCGTGACCCTGGGACAGTGCGACCGTCACAAATACGGGCCAGTTAGCAAGCGGCTGAATTTTGATCACGTGACCATGGGGATGCTGCAACAGTTGTAAGTGGAAAAAAGGTCATAGGTCGCTTTCTTCGGTGCCATTGTAACTTCAGTCGCTAAATGAATGGTTGTAAGTTGAGGATTACTTCATTTCCAATTAACGAAGATAATCAGGGGACTGGAGGCTAAAGCATATGAGGAACGGCTGCTGGAATTGGGTATGTCTAGTTTAATGAAGAGAAGAATGAAGGGGGACAGGATAGCAGTGTTCCAGTATCTCAGGGGCTGTTCCAAAGAAGAGGGAGTCAAGCTATTCTCCAAAGTGCCTGAAGGCAGGACAAGAAGCAACGGATGGAAACGAATCAAGGAGAGAAGCAACCTAGAACTAAAGAGAAACTTCCTGACAGTGAGAACAATTAACCAGTGGAACAACCTGCCTCCAGAAGCGGTGAATGCTCCAACACTGGAAGCAACTGGACAACCATTTGTTCAAAATGGTATAGAGTTTCCTGCCTGAGCAGGGGGTTGGACTAGATGACCTCCAAGGTCCCTTCCAACATTATTATTATTATTATTATTATTATTATTATTATTATTACTACTATTATTATTATTAGAGGATTACACATCTACAAATATAGCTATCTACAAATATAATTATAACTCATGATTAAATCCCTGGTTGATGAATGCAAGAAATTGGTTTCCCCATTTTGCCTGCATGCAATCTACGTGTGGTTAAAGGTGCTGCATTTTTAGCAGCCTCTGTCATAACCAACTAAAATTGCTTCAAAAGCTGAAGTGTGGCTCACACTAAACTGCTTCTCCTCCTCCTTTCTGAGAAAGGACACAGCGATTTTAAACTTTTTCCTTTGCTTTACCTTCTCCCTCTTGGATGAACAGTTTAATGTCTCAGCTGATGTGACCCAAACTTAGTTCAGTCCAACTTCCCCCTCCGCCATCCATTAGTTCAAGACCTAGAGAGGGGCTATCTAAAAAAGAAAAGAACTGCATCATTTTGGATGAGATGTCACATCTCTTTTTTTTTGTCTGGCTCTTCCATTCCACCCCTCTCTCCTCCTGCCCTGTGACTTGCACTCTTTGCTCTCTCACTCATTAACAAATGCTAGCTATAGGTCTGGCAGAGTGTGGGAACAGTCAGTTGTCAGACTTCATAGGACTGATCCCAGGTTTTCGTCTGTCTGAGCCAGGCTTGCATGCTTCGCTCTTTAGATGAGCAAAAGGGCTTCACAAAATCATGACTAGCTGAAAAGGGAGATCTTGGGCCGGGTTTTCAAGAATTGGATTAGATCTGTGGTCTGCCAGCCCGTTGCAGCTGTCTTGGGTTGAGGCACAGATCATGGTTTGCTCATATTTGCTGAGTTTATCCTAACTATTTCGGCATTTAAGTTAACTGAGCTCAAACTTTTGTTTTATATTCCAGTTTAACTTATTCTACTGACCTCTCTCTGTTTTAATTCGCAGCCACCTCCACAGATCTATGACAAGCAATTGGATGAAAGAGAACACACAATTGAAGAGTGGAAAGGTAATTTTTACTTATACAAGCTATAGGAATTGATTTTGCACTTGGTGTCTGCTCTTGGCTCTCTGTCTCCCTGCCCCCTGTTGCCTCCTGTACTCCATGGGGATTGTATTTTGGAAGATACAGTGAGTTGGCCTAATGTGCTAAAAAGAAACATGTTGTCACAGGAAAGCTATAATGCCATAATCGGAACCAATCTACCATTGGGCATAGTGATAATAGATTCAGGCAGCGGGTGCTGAAAGATGGCATCAATGACTTCATATTACGTTTCCTATTACTCCCTTACTGCTATAATTACTGCAGGACAGAATTGTGTTCATTATACAGCCTGCACTTGATTCCTAAATTGTTTTCAGATGCAGTACAAATAGTCCTCACTTAGCGACCTGTCAGAGTTACAAGTAACCCCCAAAATGTAGTTACAGACCGATTCCAGAGTTCCAGCAGCTGCCTCACTGCCTTACTGTGGTCACATTTGGGGCACTCACATTTATGGATGTTTGCAGCATCCCATAATCACATGACTACAATTTTGCTGATTTCTGGCATTCACTTCCGTATAAAAATGGATTCATTTAACGACCACCGCATTTGCTTAATGACTAGGATATTCATTTAACAATCACGGTATTCGCTTAATAACTGCCACCTAAAGGTCATAGAATCAGGGGCAGTCATGTGGGAATCCACTTAACTACCACACAACTTACAACTGCAATTCTAGATCAGTTATGGTTGTACATTGAGGAGCATCTGTATTTATTATTTAATTATTATACTATGCAATAGCTAGTGCTGAATTACAATCCACCTGCCTAGCCTATTGGCTTCAGCAGGTGGTGTAGTGATGGGAGATTTATGCCTCAAGTTGTGAAATTTCTTGAGCTAGCCCTTTATAGAATACTTCTAGAAATATCCAGGGTTTTCTCAGCAGGTGTAATGAACAAGCCTTCAAAGTCTGTGGCAATCAAAGCCAAGGAAGCAGAAAACTCATCAAAGATACCGTAAATGCCGGCGTATAAGACGACTTCCGCGAGCGCTGAAATCGGCGCCAAAGACGGGGGTCGTCTTATACGCCGAGTCGTCTTATACGCCGGAAATACTGGTAGTTTCCGGCATATAAGACGACGTTCTAGGAATGCGGCCCGGCTATAAAGACGGGGGTCGTCTTATACGCCGGGTCGCCTTGTACACCGGCATTTACGGTACTTTTCAAGAAATTGGTAGGGCATGAGGATCACCGTGAAGGAACTGAGGGTGGATCAGTTTTGCAACCAGAAGACACGTACAGGTAGTCCTTGACTTACGACCACAACTGGGACACTGCAACCATTAGTGAGATAGTTGCCAAGCATCTGAATTTTAATCACGTGACCATGTAGATACTGCGGTGGTCATAAGTGTGAAAACCGGTCACAAATCACTTTTTTCAGTGCCGTTGTAACTTTAAACTGTCACTAAATGAACTGTTGTAAGATGAGGACTATCTGTAATTCCTCTGTTCTTCAAAGCCAATTTGGCCATTTTAAGACTTGTGGACTTCAACTCCCAGAATTCCCCAGCCAGCATGGAATCCTGGGAGTTGAAGTCCACAAGTCTTAAAGTGGCCAAGTTTGAGGACCCCTGTTCAAAGCAGTTGACTTGACTCAAGGGGAATTGTAGGATAGATGATAGCTAGGAAAAACATAGGCGGCTATTCATTTTTCCGCCCTTGCCTAGGAGGTTTTTATTCACTGTTCAGAGTGGTTTTAAACAATATGGGGAAATACAACAGCGGTCCCCAACCCTCGGTTTGTGGACCAGCACCGGTCCGCGGCATGCCAGAAACTGGTCTGCACAAACAAGTGAAGCCCCATCTGCAGGAGGTAGGCAGTACACGAAACCACGCCCCCTCCAGTCCACGGAAAAACCTCTCGCCGTGGAACCAGTCCCTGGTGCCAAAAAGGCTGGGGCCCGCTGTAATAAAACTTCTTTAGTATGGGGAAATAATAAAACATCTTTATAACAAGCTCTTTTGTCTCTTGCAGAATTAATCTACAAGGAAGTAATGAATTCTGAAGAAAAGACTAAAAATGGTGTAGTGAAAGGACAACCTTCTCCCTCAGGTACTCAGTCCTAGTGAATGACAGTATTTTATAGGGTTACAGACCCAGACCTTAAGACAGGTCCTTTTTTCTCATCTGCATATAGAACTAGTACCCAGAAACAGTAGATTTTCATTGATTTGAAGCTAGGATGTATTCAATGGTGGGATTCAGATAGGTGAACAATCGGTTCTCTGTGTGGATGCTACTTCCGGAAGTCCATTCTGGGCCTGGGCAACAAAAAAATTGCCGAACTGGTGTGAACTGGCTGAATCCCACCACTGGATATATTCCAAGTAACTTTATAGCCTTTTCCAACATGGTCCCTTTTAAATATATAGGGATATGCAGATGTGTTTATGGAACCATAACTCCAGAATTCCTATCTACTATTTTGAGAAATTGTAGGATTTGGGCACCAGATTAGGAAGGCTGAAATAGAGCACTAGAAGATAAGCTCTATTAACTGAACTCAGTTAAAAAAAGAATTATATTAACTCCCAGCTAATCCACTTATCTAGGAATAAGCCCTGCTGAATTAATTGGGGCTTACTTCTAAATAATAATATATCAGATGGCACTGATTTGCTTTCAGAACTTTGAATGAATGAAGCTAGCTTCCCATGTCGTGTATTAATTCAGTGTTCAATGAAACATTAAGGTTCTGTAGTCAGTTCCTTAGCCATCATTAAGGGATTGACAGATGGGCTCATGGTATCTTTTGTCTATTCCCACACTTGCCTTTTCACTTCAAATGCAGATTTATCACATATAGTCCTCTGTTTTCTGTTATTATATTAGAAATTATTTCTGCATTGTTTTTCAGTCTGCTCTAGATAATATTCAACTTACATGTATTGTATGTGACTTACCAAAGGTTTGTTGCATCTCTCTCTTGTTTGTTTGTTTTTGCAGTTTGCTAGGAGTATCAAAACTTGGTGTGTGTGTGTGTGTGTGTGTGTGTGTGTGTGTGTGTGTGTGTGTGTGTGTGTGGTAACAGGAAGGTCAAGTCGCTGGTTGATGAGCTGATATTCCAAGATTACTTTTAACCATTGTGAATGAAGATAAATTATATGTGTCCCAGGATAGTGCTGGGACAATATTGCAGGATCCAATCTGAGTTGATCACCGGGACCAAAATTTATTCTTCCAAGCTTTTGGGCTCAAAGTTCTCCAAAGATGGGTTCCATCACGAGCCTGAAAGCTTGGAAGAATAAACCTTTGGCCCTGGTGACTGACTCAGATTGGACCCTGCAACTTTTAACCATTGTTTATTAAGCAGTTGAAAATCTTGGGTTCACATGATGGTTAAAATAAAATGATTGACAACTTGAAAAGGGAAAAAAGGGGGGGAAAAATCAGACTTGTTGACTGTCCCATTAGAATATACAGTGTTTCTAACTGCTTCCTCTGGATGTAAAGGAGATGCATTTGTCATATTCAAACAACAATCCTTTTAAGATTTTATTGAAGCATATTATAATATAAAATACAAAGAAAAACAAAGATAGCAGGGGTAATAGGAGAAGATAGAGAAAAAGAAAGGACTGCATGGTAAGAGAAAAAGAAAAAAAGCAGTGACATCCAACTTTTTGCACTGCAGTAAAATACAAAATACGGTTACAACCTCAATTTTTTGCTTTATATATTTAGAAAGTATCAGCCATTTCTTTCATAACAAACTTAATCTAATTGTTAAAACCTAACATTAAAGTTGTAATTTTTTCCCAGTTTCAAACATAAAGTCCACAAGCAGTTTTCAAATTGGAACAAAACTGGATAATTTTTCTTTGATTAAAACAGTTAGTTTTGCCATCTCTGCCAACTCCATCACTTTTTCCTTCCATTCTTCCATTGTATGAATTGATGCATCTTTCTATTTTTATGTATATAGTAGTATTTGTTATATAAGAACAAATTTTCAATTTTTTCCAAGTTCTTTATTCAACAGTCTCTGTTTCATTTTTACAGTATATTTGTTATAAGGATCTTCTGAATAGAGACCAAAAAACCCCCCTCCTGGTCCAAATATTTATTTAGTTTATCATATGCAAACAATAATCTTATAAGCTATGGTTGTCTGCATCTATTTCCCTTCAGTTATGTAAAACCTAAAAAAATTCATATTCATTTTGACAATGAGTAAGGTTCGTTTATGGATCATTACTGATATACTTTTCCACTAAAGTTCAAGAACAATTAGACCCGTGGTTCTCAACCTGTGGTCCGTGGACACCTGGGGGGGTGTTGGGGCGGAGTTGCGATGTCATCAAGCAAAGGCTTGAAGAAATGTTGTGATTTAAATCTTTAAGTCTTGGTGAGCTGTACAAAAGGTTTTTAAAGGGGGTCCATGGTGAATAAAAGGAACCACTGAACTAGGCTGTCTAGCTCAGGGGTAGGCAACCTTGGCTCTTTTATGACTCGTGGACTTCAACTCCCAGAATTCCTGAGCCAGCATGACTCAGCTTGGAAACCTTTTCCTTTCCCCTCAGCATGGCTGGCTCAGGAATTCTGGGAGTTGAAGTCCATGAATTCTAAAAGAGCCAAAGTTGCCTATCCCTGGTCTAGCTAAATAATTTCTTTGCCGTTTTGATTCAAATGTGGCTATTGAAACTATATTTGGCTTAGGACTCTGACCCTTTTCTACAGGAAAATTTATGATGCTATGTTATTCCTCTTTGGATGCTTGATCGCTGACTTTATCCTCACGAACAAGTACTGCTTCAAGTGCTATAAACCAGAGATGGTTAATATCTTCCACAGAGCCACAGAAGGCTTGCTGAGCTCATAAACCTGATTTCTTTTTTTTTTTTTTTGGCCTGTTTTTAGATTCCTAAATATAGGAATGGAAAACAAAGAGCTTGGAAACAAAGTATTTCCATTTCAATCCTTAAAATCTTCCCAACCTAAAAAAAGGAAATCATGTCAAAGGAATCTTTTTATGTTGCTAAAGTGGTTGAATTTCAATGATGTGATTTAGAGATAATTGTCAGGATTTTTGATAGGAGAGGATTGGGCAAGGGTGACCCTGGTCCCTCTTTTCCTCAAGATTTTAGTGATGCTAGAGAGTTATCTGAGATCTAATGCTAGCCTGAATTCCAGCCCAAATTTACCATTCTGTGCATAGTATATTTTCTTGCTCCATTTTTCTGTTAGTCATATTTATATTTCTGGATGATTTCCACATTTGCTTCTCCTGTTCAGTTTAGAAGGTAGCAAGCAGAGGAAGGAACAACCTTTGTTGTTTCCACTGGTCTTAAGCGAACATCACAGGCCAACAACTGTCCACAAGGAGGGTAAAACAGAGGATTCAGATGTCCCCCCCCCAAATTTATTTTTGAAACTTCCCCATCATGGAGAGCGAATGCAAAACTAACTTCAATATTGGTTTTCTTTTCCTCACTAATCTCCCTGCACCATGTTTTTGCTCAGCACAGAAAAGCCGAAAGGAATTGCGGGTAGATGGCTGGATTAGCATAAGTCTTTCAGTACCACACATTTGTTTCAGTTATGTCAGAAAGGCCATTTAACAAGTTCTTACGGAGCTGAAAGTGAGGGACAGAATACACAAATTTGATTTAAGAGCTTACTGAGCTGTGGCCCAGCACCATCGTTCCCGAAGATGGAGTGGATATCAGAATAAATCATTGCTCATGGGCAAATTTGTCTTATAAAGCCCTGCCTCGTAGGTGATTTATAAGGAACAATAGTAGGATGTGCTTGTAGGGTGAAATAATATAGAAGTACTAATTAAACTTAGCCTTCGCTTAAAATGGAGGATCACCTTACTCCAGACTACTGTTTGTGACTGGCAGAAAACTTGTTACTTCCCTCTTTCCTGATAAACAGAGGACTGTTGTTTTAAACACACCTCACTGATTTCCTTGCAATTGCAGGTAGTCCTCGACTTAGAACCATTCATTTAGTAACTGTTCGCACTTACAATGGCACTTGAAAAAATTGGCATGACTAGTTTTCATATTTATGAACATGGCAGCATTCCCATGGTCACATGATCAAAATTCAGGTGCTTGGAAATTAAAATGTATTAATAATAATAACAACAATAGAGTTGGAAGGGACCTTGGAGGTCTTCTAGTCCAACCCCCTGCTCAGGCCAGAAACCCTATACCAGGGGTAGGCAATCTTGGCTGTTTTATGACTTGTGGACTTCAACTCCCAGAGTTCCTGAGCCAGCATGATAGCCAACATGGCTGGCTCAGAAATTCTGGGAGTTGAAGTCCACAAATGGTTGTCCAGTCTCTTCTTAAAAACTTCCAGCGTTGGAGCATTCACAACTTCTGGAGGCAGGTTGTTCCAGGTTTGTTATGATAGTTGCATTGTCCTATAATCAACCATTTGTAATCTTCCCAGATTGCTTCCAACAAGCAAAATCAATTGGAGAAGCTAATTATTGCATGATTCACTTAACAATTGCTATGATTCACTTAACAGCTATGGCAGAAAAAGGTCATAAAATGGGGCAAAAGTCACTTAACTATTGCCTGGCTTAAGAATGGAAATTTTGTGTTCCATTGTGGTTGTAAGTCGAGGACTATTTATACATATTTACTTTTAATTTCATAGAATTTAAGTTGTATCATTTTTATTTTTATCAGGAATGATAAAATGAACTGTAGCATAAAACAGTAATTTTCCAGGTTCCATCTTGAGAGAATTGTGTTTGTAGAGATAATGTGTTATCTGAACACCAAGATCATGCAATAAAACTAATTAAAAATAATAGAAAAGGACAGTGAGGGAGGGAAAGAAAAACCTATTTCTTTATTATAACTAAAGAAACAGCTCTCTAATACAACTCTTCAGCCACAGCCTGCAGTAATTCATGGCTATCGGTCAAAGACTAGATATTTATATATTTAAATGTATTTGTTGCCTGACTCCCAGTGACTCTGGTTGGTTACAATTTTGTTAAAATCTTTAAAAGAAGAAATTACAATTAGAAAAGTTTATCTGAGAAACCATCTCAGATATCAAAGGGATTAACCTGCCCCACCTGGGCCAGCAGAAAGGGGATGCTGCGGATCTGGTCAGACCAGGAATTTTGAAGTCCAGGGGAAGAGCCTTTTCTGCTGTGGCTCCCGCCCTCTGGAACATCTTGCCCCGCCCCCTCTGAGGTCAGATCCACTTCGGAAAAGGCCTTGAAGACAAGTCTGTGCCAACTAGCCTGGAGCCCCAACAGGTGTGCAGCACTTCAAAGGTGGTTAATGGAGTTGAGAACATCCTCCTCTCTGTGTGCATTTTGCTCCCTCCCTCTCTGTCCTGCTTAGTTTTATATTAACTGAATTTTAAATTTAAGATCCTTATTTATTGTTTTAATGTTTTAGAGTGCATTTTAATCTGTAAGCCACCGAGAGTCGCTTTTGGCAAGATTGGCAACTTATAATTTTAATAATAAATAACAATAATAAATAAAATAAAAAATGTAAAGAAATAATAGTAATATTAATAGCACTTATATACCGCTTCATAGTGTTTTACAGCCCTTTTTAAATGGTTTACAGAGTCAGCATAATGCCCCCAACAATCTGGGTCCTCATTTTACCAACCTTGGAAGGATGGAAGGCTGAGTCAACCTTGAGCCAGTCAGGATCGAACTCCTGGCAGTGGGCAGAGTTTGTGTGCAATACTGCATTCTAACCACTGCGCCACCAGAGCTCCTTATAATAAGTGCATATTGGTCCCTTCTCAAGGATGGTAGAAAACACAAGATTGGACAACTGAAAAGCACATGGGTTACTTTAAGGAGTTGGTGATTGCAGTGGAAAACCAAAGTAATACAAAGCATTTTCTCTTTATTCTATTCAGTATTGATGAAATCCAGTAAGGGATGCATTATATATCTCTAAGCAAATCAAATATTGCAATCTCTTGGGTGGTAAACGTATTAGTTGTATTAATCAATTACATCAATCCAATTCATATTTTTAATGACGTATTAGTCACATTCATTACATATTAATTACATTACATTAATGTTAATTCATTACATTTAATTACTAATTAATTAATTGCAACTAATTTTATGGCTCTTGATAGGAAATCTTCCACCACCCTCAGATATTTTGGGGGGAATTGTAGCATTTCCCAAATAAATTTTACTAGAGCCAAAATTAGCAAGCAGACCTCTTTTGTTCCTGCGACTTAAAAAAACCCCAGATCCCTAACCCAATTTATTATCCTTCATATCACCCTCATGTAATTGACTGCCAGAAGCCTGATAACTTGGAAATTAGGCCAAGGACTCATATATCTCTTCCTCTGTCTGGCCACCTAAGTAATTTTTTTTCCTATTGAGGGCCATGTACCAACAATGTTAAGGATGGAGGAAACCCATGGTTAAAGCAAGACCCCTCCTTTCTCTTCCAACCAGCCAGTCTTCCAGGGAATCAGGACTGGGCATAGACCAGGGGTGGGGAACTATGGCCCTTTTATGACTTGTGGACTTCAACTCCCAGAATTCCTGAGCCAGCCATGTTGGCTGAGGAATTCTGGGAGTTGAAGTTCAGAAGTCATAAAGGAGCCATAGTTCCCCACTCTGGCATAGACAATGTAACTAGCCATTTTTGTTTAGCTTAGAGGAGGGGTAGGCAACCTTGGCTCTTTTATGACTTGTGGACTTCAACTCCCAGAATTCTGGGAATTGAAGTCCACAAGTCATAAAAGAGCCAAGGTTGTTTACCCCTGGCTTAGAGAAGCTGAGGAACATTAGGCATTATCTCCCTCCTTTCACAAATGTTTAGAATTTGTCCTTTAGAAAGAAGAAATGCCAGACAGCACTGGAGGGCTGGATCTGAGAGGTACGTGCATTTATTCTGGTCTCTTGAGTGTTCCCTTGCTTCCAGGTTGAATCACGTCGGTGTTCATTTTCTTAGCACAGGTGCAGCAATGAACAGCAGCGAAAGCCTCCCTCCCTCCTCATCTGTCAATGACATTTCCTCCATGTCCACAGACCAGACCCTGGCATCGGACACCGACAGCAGTTTGGAAGCTTCTGCAGGACCCCTTGGTTGTTGCAGGTGACTAGCCGCCTGCCTGCGAAACCCGACGTTCTTCAGAAGATGATGCAGTTTATAGGGTGACAAATCAATGGTGATTAGGAAAGAATTTGATGATGGCAAGGAAGAGAGAGAGAGAGAGAGAATGAGAGAGAGAGAGAAAGAGAGAGAGAGAAATCAAAATACACATACTGATTAAGCAAATAAAAAGTCCCTTTCAGCCTGCTTCTCCTAAAAAAAAAAAAAAGAGTAATGTAAATGCAGCTAAGCTCGAGTGTATATTTAACTTATAGTTGCTCTGCTTTGGTCTTCTTCCAACAATGCTTACTGCATAAAAAGAGAGAAAGAGAGAGAGAGAAAAGCAAAAAGAATAAGAAAAAAAAAATTAAGAAAAAGAGTGAGAAAAGAGGAAAAAAGTTTTAAAAGAGCTTTTTTTCATTAAAAATGGCAAATTTTAATGGTTGTAAAAACAGCAATCTGCAACTGTCCTTTCTCATAATGGCATGACAAGGTGGACAGTCCCCTCCCTTTTTGTGTATACATGTGTGCTTATTTAACTGCTCTCTGTTTCTGTTTTGGATAAATATACAGAGAACTGCACATGTATCTTGGTGTACATACATACAAATATGCATTTGAAGATACAGTATACATGAAGCTGTGTGTATGCATAAACTGAAGAAGCAGGAGTCTTTATGTCTACACACAGCCTGCAGTGGAGAACAACCTCCTGTTGTGTTTTTAATGGCATTTTCATTTGTAATATAATCTCAGTGTACAGTATAGCTTGTTTAGTTGTTCCATGGGTTAGTTTAAATTATTTTATGGCTAAAATCTTAGAAAGCTCACTTCTGAGTTGGTATGTGTGGGGCTAAACTGGAATTGTGTACAATCAGAATCAAACTGAAGTTTTCTCAGAATCTTGATGATGTAGCATCTTAAATTCAGTGTTGTTTTAACAGCAATTTTTGGGGAGGAAAAATATAGGATGGTGACCTAACCAGTTAGTTATTCATACCCATGGCCATAGAAATTGGTTTTTAGAATATTCATATATGGAAATAGCATGTTTTTCTATGGACATTGTTAGGAGAGGAACTCATTTCTATCATATTGTTCATGTGAACTTTTTGGAAGCTCTTAGTTGGTGCCTGTGGATCTTCTGATCCAATGTGTGTCATCTTAAGTGAAGAGAGAATTACTAAGCACCACCCTGTCTATTGAAAGTGACCATCAGTTTTATTGAAAGGTGTTATATAAATTAGACAAGTAATAACAAGCATGGATAACTGGTCCCTAGCCTCAATCACATCCCTGGACCTGTGTCTTGGAAAAAAGTTGCATACTTCTGTCCTAATTTGGTTTTGGGAAACTAAAATCCACCAGGCATAAAATGTTACAAGATTCCTCTTTGCAGAATTTTCAGCAAACTGTCAAATAATTATCAGGTTCTACATCAAGGCAGATTGGATAATTTGCTAGGCAAATATGAGCCTTGGTTTTATTTCTTAGATCTGAATAGAACATTACAATATCACAGTCTGAAAATTTTTTACTGGGAGAGGCAAACATTTTTTCCTGGGCAATAACAGGTACTTATTTGTAAACTACATATTTTGGCTGCTTCTTGAACCATATGGTGTATTCCCTGTATGCAGAAACATAATGAAGTCCAATTACAAGAAGATAATATCGCAGATCTGTTTATTCATAGCAATTTACCAAGTCAGTGTGTTTGAGGCTGTGAATGACTTCTTAATTTGGTTTAAAGTTTCCCATTTATGTAAGGGTTATATCTCTAACTACTTTGAGCTTTCACTTTTTCATCCAGACAATCTAAGCCAGGCATGCTCATGATGTTAGTAACTTTATCAACCAGTGTTGTTAAGATATATCACTTGAGCAAGAAGTTAAGGCAAAGATCTGCCTGCTTCATATGGGACAATGTTCAAACATGTCATCTGAGGACTTGGGAATGCAAGAGCAAAAATGTTCTGGAATGATGAAGAAGCTCTGAAGGACTCCATCTTCTCTGCACATATAGCTTGTTCCCTGTTCTCAGTCAGACCAATGGTGTACTGTACCTGGTCATGAAGAGCAATGTCACAAACCTGGCTTTTTTTCAAAACTCAGGTGCTGAATCTGTTGATACCTGAATGAATGGTAGGACTGTAGTCTAACTTTTAAAGGATATCCGAGATGTCATTTATTTCCCCTAAATAAAGCTAGAAATCAATGCTTATGGATTAACCTGTACAGATTGCCATTAAGCCATGTTCAGAATGGCAGAAAATGTTAACATCATTTGTTATGTTCCATTTTCGTTCATGAAAAACTTCAACCTCCTTACTTATCCAAGTGGTTAGAGCAATTCTGCTCTATTTCCCAGATGGCTGTGATATTGGGAAGAGTCATTCCAGAGACTAAACCAAACAGGGAAGTCCAATGTCTTCTCCAAGGTTAGAGTCAGGGATTCAACTCTGGAGGTTGAAATTCAGCCCCTTGTATAGCCCTTGAAAACACAGTCCCAAAATATCAGGTATTTATCTTTAACAACTGTCAGGGTTAGATGATGTGAATCAAAACAAAATGAACTTGCTAGTTAATTTCAGTGAAGACAAATAAACATAAAGTATGCACAATTAATACACAGCTGCAAGTCACCCTAGCAACCATGTTTAATTAAGCCTGTTAATATTGCACCGGTCTGAATGCCATACAATATTAGGAGTATTTCTAATGATGTAATATAGTTTCAGTTGCTAAGTAAGATAGTGAGGGAGTAGATTTTTCTTTGAAGAAAACGAATCAGAAAGTTTAGTTGTGCAGTATGTATAACAGCAATAAGCAATAGGTTATTACTGCAAATATACATATATAGATATAGATAGATAGATACATATATATATATATAGCAATATAGGGGACAATCTACTAAGTGCCACTAAAAGTCATAGCCATGTGGGTGGTATGTATACAAGAATCACATGCAATTTCTGTACAAATGAAAGTCACACAGCGGTGCTTAATCTGGTGCGCCCGTATTCTTTTCAAAGCCATGAAATGATGTTATCTCATGTGGCATTGTAACTTGAATCCAGCCTGGAAGAAATCCCAATACACAAGAAATGGTATTATTTACAAGAGGGACAACAGTGCGTTTGGGGATTCCATAAAGGCAATAACAGAGAAATGATCTTCTAAGCAATAATGATGTTTGCTTAATGTGTATTTTCTTTCCTAATATCACGGGCAATTAAAAGCCATTTCCCACTGTCCGCCATTTTGGTACTGACAGGACTAAAACCTGGGAGTTGTTTGGAATCACACATTATCGTAAGATGTGATTGTTAACTGTCACCAGAAATCACATTCAACAGCAAAAGCAGCTGAGTTTAGCGAAGATACTAAATCGCTCAGGACAGTGAAAATGCCAAGCCGCATTTATAAAAATGAATGAATGAATGAATAAATAAATAAAATCTCTCTGCACACTGGATATGGCAGATGAGATTTTACAGAAGCACAAGGTGAGGGTGTTAGGACCAAATCTAATCAGTGCACTAATCTACAATGGCTTAAGAACAATACAGGTAGTCCTCGACTCACGACCACAACTGAACCCAAAATTTCTGTTGCTCAGTGAAATAGCGTTGAGTTTTGCCTCATTTCACAACCTTTCTTGCTACAGTTGTTAAGTGAACCATTGCAGTGGCTAAGTTGGTAACGCGGTTGTTAAGTGAATCTGGCTTCCCCATTGACTTGTCAGATAGTCAAAAAAGGTGATCACATCATCCTGAGACACTGCAACCGTCATAAATATGAGTCAGTTACCAAGCATCTTAATTTAGATCACGTGACCATGGAGTTGCTGCAACAATCATAAGTGTGAAAAATGGTCATAAGTCACTTTTTTCACTGCCGATATTGAATGGTCGTTAAATGAATGGTTGTAAGTCGAGGACACCTGTATCTGTATCAGGTGGTCCTATATATTAAGAGAATTGTCATTACTAATCACTAAGAAAAGGATTCAAAATCAAGCAACTGGTGTCATAAGTCTGTTGCATCATCTTTTGTCCACTCATCACTTAAAAGTACTGGATACCATTCTGGGCAATTTATTTCTAAAAGGATGTAATCAAAATTGAGAAAAGAATGACGGATTAATGATTGAGGAATAATTTGAGGCAATCAAGTTCTTCTGAGGATATGTTGATAAGCTTTATTGTTCCATTCATAAAGTTTATAAAGAGAGAAAGTGAAGAAAAACGGCTAATATTAAACAGTTGAATGCTCAGAATTATCTACAGATGTAATTGTAGTGGTTATAAATAAAGGGAAATAAGTATTTAACCATGCAATCGATGATTAAGATGAATATTATTGTTGCAGAATGGGTCAAGGTCAATTCAGAAAGATGATTAACTGAAAGTCAGCTACTTTCTTGGTATTTCAGATATTCGAACATACATTAGAAAATTATCAAGACAATGGCCAGAACATGTAGGATTTTATTGATTGATTGGTCCATGAGGTTTGTTCATACTCTTCGTGATGATAACTTGTCATAAGTAAAGCAAATTACAATGTGTCTCATTTATTGTCAACTTCAAAATAGGAATGCTGGAATATGTCACAGGCAATTTACTCTGCCTTCTAATTGTTGAACCTGAATTAAATAGATTTTTCAAAATCATATCAAAATATGTGTACAACAATGTTAACAACCAGTTGAATGAAAATTGGATTGCAGATGGAAATGGAAGGGCATGCAAAGCTGCTTGTATCCCAAAAGTTCTAAAGTTAACTAGAAGCAAAGTAATGATATAAAGTGTTTCATTTTATCATACCCACAATGAGAACTGATAGAAAGGATAATGTCCAACTGACATTATCTTAATTTAAGATAGCATAATGCAGAACCCTTTATAGCTTGGTGGTTAGAGGATGAATAATAGCCAGTTTGACCACAGTAGGTATAGAAATTCTGCAGAATAATTCACAAACAAAGCAATAAT